CGAGAAGATAAAGATAGGGAGGGAACTTAGGGATTCCTTGAATGGAAAAGGTAGAGTCCATGTCAGCTTCGGCTGGCTACCGCCGAATAGGCATGTTGAGTAGCCTTCAGTGCCTAGAGTGACAAGAAGGGAGCTTCGGCTCTTGCTAGGTCGGCCTGTGCTTCGCAGAATGCTTGGAAATTGGCTTGCCGGCTCAGTACCCCTAGTTACTAAATCGTTAGGTGGAAGTAGAAGGATAAGCAAGGAGGCTTTGACCTTGTTATGATATTGAAGAAATTTCACAAGCATAACGATGTTATCCGTGGAGAACCAATGCTTAAGCAACTAAAATATTTTTCAGGTCAACAGAAGAATTATCTTTTTCGTATATCATTACTCCTTCGACTTGCCCACAGATACCATCTTGCCCAAAATCAAAAACCCAAAAATTGATTTTTCTTTATTTTTTTCATTTTGCTGTTGTTGAACAAAATAAGAACAGAAGAAGCCTATCTTGAATGCTCACAAGAGCAGGTGCAACCGATCCCAGAAGGAGCTCAGGATAGTCTTGTAAAGTCATTAGGACCATCAGCGGGTGGCTGAATACGCTTAACCGCCCGCCATTCCGCCATTATTTTAGCCTTTTAGGGAGATACGCTGCTTGTCTAGTGAGATCTGGTTTTGATGCTGTGCATTATTAAGCCAGCGGATCACCTTTGTCTCTGCCCTCTCTGCTGATCACTTCTTATTAGTACAGTTTTTTTATTTATTTGAGGGGCTATGGAGTTAGCTGGTGCGTGTGATGAATCATGGAACAATCATTTCGGACGAAACCCTAGTCACAGGATCTTATTAAAATATGGGATTACATTCAAGCTGGAGCTCCCATGGCGATCTCGAAATCACCTGGCAAAAAAGATACCGATGTTTGCTCGTCTTTCTGAGGATTGTTCTGATGATTGGTGTATGTCTTAAGGGCTTCACTGGCGGACCTGGGGGAGGCTAGAATTTGGGGGCTTTGTAGAGTTCTTGAAAAATTCATTTTTTCGCAAGGAAATTCTAAGGGCATTTGTTGTATTTTTTTCCTGACCCCTCGATTTAAACTCGTTCTCCCGATCTAGATCTAAGAGGTTCACTTAATTTGGTACAAGAAATCCGGTTCAAGTCCCTCCTAATTAGGGGTGAGCAGTTCCAGGTTTCGTACAGATTCCACTTGGAATCTAAAACCTACCCATGGAAACATGTTTATCATTTTTTGGAACCTGGAACTTACTATACAAATCTTGGACAGGTTGTAGGGTCGGTTTCAAGGTATACCTATATTCCATCTATATTATTAATTGAACAATTACAGTGAATCGTCACCTTTAATGACCACCACTTACTGCTAGGATCCACTGACCACAACTTATATTTATAGACACAAAGAATATGAAACTCCAACAAAGGTCATAAAATGAAAGCTCATGCTAGTGGTTTAAGATTATACATTCATCATCTAATACCATGGAATATCGCAGAATCAAGTAAAGGCATAGACAAAGAAAAAATATAAAAAACTTGCTTAAGGCTATAAGTTCTACCTACCTAGAACTTGAAATCTACCCGTCGAAATAGGTTCCTCAATTTTAGAACTTGAAAATTACTCTGTATACCTTGGAACCTAAAACCTACATGTTTCCACCGGTTATGTTCTCAGGTTCCAAGTTCTACCCTGGAACCATGCTCACCTCTACTCCTAATCACTCCATTAAAAGAAAAAAAGTTTGGAATTAGGATGGAAAAATACCACAAGTTGTTCTTATTAAGTTATTCGAAAAGCAAAATGGTGGTGGATGGATAAACTTGCACTTTCGACAGGTGACCACCAAATGGAAAGATGCGCTTTTTTGGCGGCAGAAAAGGAAAAGTGGCTTTGTACAACCCAAAAGTAGGGATAATAATAACAAATGCAAGAGCCCCAATCCAACTTGCCATTGTTGGAAACTTTCTGGAGCCACTAATGCTATTTTCTTGGGCCAACCAAGCCAGACTTACTATTACTGGCAAGGAAAAAAGGCCCCCAAAAAAGTGCACTTCGTGGGATTAGAGAAAGGTGATCCATTCAAAGGAATTAATTAATCGGCAGTACCAATTGATTGACGATTTCACTTTAGTGGAGTGGCAATAATTATTTGCCTTAGGATCGAGCCAATAATTAATCTTTGCACGTACACTTGTTAAATACACTTTATTTGGAATAAATTCGATTTTTGATACATCGACGGTGCATGAAGCAACAACGATCGGTGCATTGAAAAGTATAAAGTTTCCTTGATTGGTTGCTTAACAAATATCCCGGAGTACTCATTGACATAATCCATTTTAGTGTTATGGTAGGAAACGAGTAGACTCCCAGAGTTGGCACGGTTGATTGGGGCGTAAGGAGATTTTTTAGCTCGAGAATTGAAAATTCAATTATTTGTGTACCAACTGCTTTGAGTCCGGGCCATCCGCACAGACCAAATGCCTATACTTAATTGGTTCATGGGATCTGTAGGGTGTTTCATAGGTGTCCAGATTACCGGGCTTATGCGCTCATGCCCCTAGATAGAAGAAAAGAAAAGAAAAGTATCGTATACAAACTCGTGGCATAGTGATGTGATGAGCATTGGTAATTGAAATGCATGAATCGACCATATGCTTTTATTTTCTTAGGATCCAAAAAGTGTGATTGTATGTTTGTGGCGTGTGATTGGCTTTGCTTCACAGATTAGATGAGGCACTAACTTCTCACGATACTAGGTAAGAAAAGGGAGGTGAAAACTACATAGGAAAGGCAGCTGTTAGGCACGGTTAAATTAAATTACAGCGACTAAGCTAGGTTTAGAATGTTAATCACATGAAGAACATAATGTGTTTTTTTATTTATTTGCAATACATAGGGTAGTAGCAAATGGGGTTTATTTGTTCCCTCTCGTTATTACATTAGAGTTTGGTTAGCGAAATTTGTGCGACAAGACAATGCACCGATCCTTCTATTGTTCAATTTTCACTATACTTGGCTCTAGAATGAAATGTACCGAGGGTACAATTGTTTCGTGGAAAATTTATAGTTAGAAAATACTCTCCCCATCTTTCTATGCTTAGATCACCTAGGAATTTTGTACAGTTGATGAAAAGCCTATACGTAAATTTGAGAAAATGACTTTCCCTCTAAAAATCAGATCAAAAATAATTTTCCGAAAATACCGCCGGACCCTAGGGCTCGGGCCTAATTCCCCAAGGTCGAGCTCATACGGACCCTCAAGATTAGGTTCAGGACCCTAGTGGTTGAGCCTGAGTATTCGGCCCTCGTGCCCGATTCGCCAGTTTCCCACGCTCCGGTCCTTCGAAGCCTGTCCCTGGTCCCCCAAGACCGGGGATGAACCCCGAAACAATTGACCAGGTCACCGACGGATGGCCGGGTAAATAATACACAAAATCGCGGTCAGTTCCCGGGCTCCGGTCCCTTATGTCCGACGATACAATCCTGAAGCGATCTACCAGTATTGTTTCCAATAAATCTCTTATTCCCAGAAAGATTTGGTTGTTCAGAAGCAAGGGGACATCTTTTTCTGCTGTTGAGTTTCCGAGTCACGATTCTCGCCGGGCATTGTGGGTTGAAAGTCCACCGCCATTTAAAAATAAAAAGGGAAATTTGACAAATATGGATGTGGACAAATATGAGACTAATAAGAATTTTGATTTGGAGTGCATTTGAAGCTGTCTTCTCCCTATAATTCCACAGATTATAATAATCACTAAATCGCTAAAATTTCACTATTGTTATATTGCTGTAATTCCTTGTCGAGATCGAAGATCCCGATCTCTAACTTGAGATGGTACGGGAGAGTCGAATGGTGAAACGAATGTTTTCAGGATAAGACTCGAGCTTCCGATCTTGTGTGTACTGAGTAATTATCCGAGCATACAGATTCACACTCTCCGCATTGAGAGGATGCATGAATGGCATGATTCGCGAATCGAGCGTCTCGCTTGATCGAGCTCACTAGAGGAAAAAAACGAATGTCCTAATCTCGATCGAACGATCAAGATGAGATTGAACTGAATGTAAATCAGGAATGTAAAGAGACATTGGCTTATCGTGGGCTTTTGATACGGGCTTCGTAAGTGGGCCTCTAGCGACCATGGGCTTGGCTGGTGGGCCAGGTTTTTTGGGCTCAATGTGACTTCTGATGGGCCCATAAATGCATCCGAAGACAAGAACAAAGGAAGCAAAGGTAGTAGCATCGCTGATGCATCTCCACTAGACAGAGATAAAGGTTATATCCCGAGTTAATTTTTCGAATGCCGGACTGAATTTATAAAAGTTGATCCTGTCTAGGGCGGGCAATATTTATGTCCGGATTAGGAGATTCGCGATGAATTATTTTCTTATTGCCCCGGCTCCCGAGCGATTGCGCCGAGTTTGCACCCGAACACGAGAGACCTCGCATCTTATGAGGTGCAAAAATTACGGTTGCTCTTTTAAGGGGATTTAGAGATTTTGCGTTCCACCATGCCATCTTATTTACATGCATTCGATTTCTAACTCATGAAGTTTGTTTGATGGATTTTGGCCAACTCCCATCCATTTGGTTGATGAAGCTTTTTGTGATCCTCCTCCTCAAACATCATCCCCGCATTTTACGTGCTAAGTTTTCACGTACAGACTCCACCTACACAACTGTAATAAAATGATCGTGTTTTCCACCCTCTCTTACCTGAGAAAATCTTCTCCAACACCTTTTATTGATGAGCTACAAAACAGGGATATTGGTCCAATTTTAATTTTAGTTAGGTTTAAAATTGCAGCGTCATCTTCTAAACCATCTAAAAAATAAGGTTGACAAATGTTTCCGGAGCACTATTAAACATACTAAATGACGCTTGATTCACTTTTCAAATCGAATGAATTTTCTCAACAAATTTTGATCAATGAATTATATTAACAATGGAAGTTAGGTGATCGTTCGACGATCCATAAATTATTCGATAATGGAAGTTAGGTAAATCGGATGCAATCTAGCAGCACCAGTCCTTCCTTCCTTCCTTTCTGGGAAGAAGACCCGTCTGTTTGACTGTACTTCCGTTTTGACTCGCTTCACTTCCTTCCCCCAGCCTCTCACTTGCAGCGACAGCAGCACTGTTCTCGATCACCGCCATGGCTTCGAAGCTCGGAGCAGCCGCCACGGCGCTAGCAATCGCGGCCGTCGTCCTGGGTCTGAACCCGCCGACGACCCATCACCTCCTCCATCCGCCTCCCGTCCCGGGAGCCCAAGACCGCCTCCACGCTTCCAGGGTGGTGCCGGTCACCGGGGCTTTCGGGCCCGAGAGCCTCGCCTTCGACCCGAGCGGCGGGGGCCCGTACACCGGCGTCGCCGACGGCCGGGTCCTGAAGTGGGAGGGGGACGAGCGCGGGTGGGTCGACTTCGCTTTCACTTCCTCTCAGAGGTACGACGTTGAGCCGCTGGTCTGCTCGTGCTCGACTTGGTTTTTCTTTCGCCTTATTTTCTATAATGAAATAGTGATTTTTGCTCTTCATTGTTGACATGTTCGATCGTCCTGGTTTACTTCCGTTGCTGGCGTGCAGTATGTTGGCGTTATCTTGATTCACCAAATTTCATATATTTGAGTAACATAACATAGCAGAGAACATGACCAATTTGTACAAATGCAGTCGGCCACGCCGCTTAGTATACTAATTTGTGGAGCAATCTTAGTATATGCTAAGCATCACTTGCTGCTGTTGGCGAGAAATGTGAGATAAATTTAGGGCAATATCCATGTTAGTTACTCGTTCTTTGTTTTTTTTTTGTTATTTGAGGTGAGATTCTATGCCGTATCGCAAATGCTTAATCAGACTGAGCGGAAAAGACCGGACTCTTGATTGTGCGCATAAATGTCGTCCAAAGCCTGGTTGACGATTTTGTGGTTTGTTTACTGCAAATGCGAAAACTAGATTAATCACATTTTGCAAATCATGCGTCACTTATGGTGAACTCTAAAAGAAAGTATGCAGATTTCTGTCATTTTTGCGTGGTAAGTGATTCAGTCCATCACATCAAATTAACCCCGTGTGTGCTTTTCAGCTTTGGTGTGTATCTCTTTCAATCCAAGTAACAAATGCAGCTAATAAGGCATTTGTTGGATTGGACTGATGACCTTTTTCTAGTTTGAATAGAGTTTTTGATCAAGTTGCTATCAGATTAGTCTCTCCGGAGAGATTGATCGTTTTGGAATGATGGAGAAGATTAGCATGGCCCTCACAAGGATGATGCGTAAATGGGCCAACCAGATTAGCCATCATCGAAATCTGACTTGTTGAGTACTTGTTCCTTTTGGGTTTCATGGTAACTCGCATTGAATTTGAGAGCCCCAACATTGGAAGTTCTGTTGCTGCTGCTAACTGTCTCTAGAAAGTTTCATTTTCATTCACTTTGGTAAAAATTTATAACATAGGGACAGAGCACATGAGTGCTAACATTCCGAATTCGAGAAGTTGTCGGGGCTACAGAACAAAAACCAATTTCAGTGTCAGCACTCGTTCATTAAATTTCCTGTAATATTGTGCTTCCTTTTGCTTATTTTGCCCGCAATGTCACCAACTTGGCCTTGTGCTACTAGGGATGAATGCATTCGCCCATTTGCACCGGAGTTGGAGCATGTTTGTGGGAGGCCTCTAGGACTCCGGTTTGATAAGAAAACTGGAGATCTCTATATTGCGGATGCATACTTCGGGCTTATGGTGGTGGGTCCAGATGGTGGTTTGGCCACTCTAGTGGCTAATGAAGCTGAAGGCGAACCCTTACGGTTCACCAATGATATGGATATCGATGAGAGTGAAGACGTGATTTACTTCACAGACTCGAGCACAACTTTCCACAGAAGGTAAGTAAGACACAGACAGCATCAATACTAAGAGAAAGATGTCTGGATATTGATGGGTCTTGTATTCATAATAATGTGGGATAGCTCTACATGATAACTATCTTTATTGATCTTCACATGGTTAGGACGTGGTAACGAGGTAACCAATTGTTATATGGAAGTTATTCATATCAGTGTCTCCAGTTAACTGATTTTGTGTAGTCACAGACTCACACCTCCACTGCAGCACCCGACTTCTTTTTCTTATAATGACTGAGCAAACAATACTGTAATTAGTTCTCGGTGATGTCTATTGATGCCTACAAGAAGCTGCTATTGCTGATAATTTGTGTTTCCAGGCAATTCATGAATTCATGTCTAAGTGGAGACAAATCTGGCCGGTTGATGAAATATGATAAGTCGAGCAAGGAACTAAAAGTCCTTTTGCAAGGAATTGCTTTTGCCAATGGAGTAGCGTTGAGCGAAGAGGGTTTGTTTCTGCTGGTGGCGGAAACTGCTACTTGCCGAATCTTGAGGCTTTGGCTTAAGGGCCCTAATGCAGGAAAGTTTGACGTCTTTGCTGAGTTGCCCGGTTACCCAGACAATGTCAGGAGGAACTCCAGAGGCGAGTTCTGGGTCGGCTTGCATGCCAAGAAAGGACCGATCGGGAGGTTCCTTCTTTCCAATCCTCTCATTGGGAATTTCGCTCTAAGGCTGCCGATCAGCTTCCAACAGCTGCACTCGTTGTTTGTGGGAGGGAAAGCTGATGCCATCGCTGTCAAGCTGGGCAAGGAGGGAGAAATTCTGGAAGTAGTGGAGGACACGGAGGGGAAGACCTTGCAGTTCATCAGTGAAGTTGAAGAGAGGGATAATAAGTTGTGGATCGGGTCGGTGATGAGGCCTTATATCGGCATTTATGATTTGAATTGAGCTACGTATTCTCTTGAGTTGTGAAATTGATGGGTGTCATGATCTCATCCATCTGAAGCTGTCTTCCGTGCGCATAATCTGATTGTACTGCATTTCGTTGTCGATTCAGCCGAGAAACAGAGAGGGATTCGTTTGTTTCTCCTTCTCTATTGATTTACCCTTGTCGAAGTCGGTTTGTCGCATTGTCTGTAATAGTTTAATAAATCGAGCTCCTAGTTAAATTTGCAATGGTTGTACTGAAGAACGTGGAATCGATTCTTAGGGAGGCTACTCAATGAATCGTTCACGTAGGTCGGCATCCATAGCCAGCTTAGTGATCTTTAGCCTCCCCCAGGTCTGCCAATGAAGACTTTTGAGACATCATCAAAGCAATGGGTAGCTCATAAGTAGCTGGCTATGGATGCCGACCTACGTGAACGATTCATTGAGTAGATTCGCCCTATAAAACGCACAGCAACTTCTGTGAGTGGGTTGGTTTGGTGGGCCTCACACATCAAGCCACTTTCATGAAGTTGGTGACCACCAAGATAGCGCATGATAACCGTTCTGATTTATGGACAACTTTTTGTTTCAGAACCGATTCTGAACCAGAAATCAGAACAAAAAAAAAAAGTAGGTTTTCTATTTCTATACCAAAAATGAGAATCATTTCTGAGAGAACTCTTTCTTGAAAACACATGTTAAATCCAGAGTCACGATCTTTGAGGTGGGAAAAAAAGCAAAAAATCAAAAATTTCAAAACTTCATGAGAATGGTTTAGAATCTGTGGCTACCCACTTTGAGCGAAATTTAAATTTTTTAGGTGCCGAAAAAATAAAAAATTTCACAAAATGGCTTAGAATACCTATGGCCACCCACTTTGAGCGAAATTTAATTTTTTTAGATGCCAAAAATAATAAAAAATAAAATAAAAATCTAAAATTTAAAAACTTCACAGAATGTCTTAGAATACCTGTGGCCACCCAATTTGAGCGAAATTTAATTTTTTTAGGTGCCGAAAAAAAATTAAAAAAAGCAAAAAATAAAAAATTTCAAAATTTAACAGAATGGCTTAAAATACTTATGGTCATCCACTTTGAGCGAAATTTAACTTTTTTTAGGTGCCGAAAAAAATAAAAATAAAAAAATTTCAAAGCTTCACAGAATGGCTTATAATACCTGTGGCCACCCACTTTGAGCGAAATTTAATTTTTTTTAGATGCCAAAAAAAAAAAGCAAAAAAAGCAAAAATTTTAAAACTTCACAGAATGGCTTAAAATACCTCTGGCCACCCACTTTGAGCGAAATTTTATTTTTTTTAGGTTCCGAAAAAAAAAGTAAAATATCAAAAATTTCAAAACTTCGCAGAATGGCTTAGAATACCTGCGGCCATCCACTTTGAGCGAAATTTAAATTTTTTTAGATACCGAAAAAAATAAAAAAAATAAAAAATTTCAAAACTTCACAGAATTGATTAGAATACCTGTGGCCACCCACTTTGAGCGAAATTTAATTTTTTTTAGGTGCCGGAAAAAAATAAAAATAAGGAAAAAAGAAAAAATTTCAAAATTTCACAGAATGGCTTAAAATACCTATGGCCAGCCACTTTGATCGAAAATTTATTTTTTTTAGGTGTCGAAAAAAATAAAAAAAAGCAAAAAATCAAAAATTTCAAAACTTCACAGAATGGCTTAGAATACATGTGGCCATCCACTTTGAGTGAAATTTAATTTTCTTTAGGTGCCGAAAAAAAATTAAAAAATAAAAAAAATAAAAAATACCATTTGGGCACCTAAAAAAAATTAAATTTCGCTCAAAGTGGGTGGCTAGAGGCATTCTAAGTCATTCTGTGAAGTTTTGAAATTTTTGATTTTTTACGTTTTTATTTTTTTTTCGGCACCTACAAAAATTTAAATTTCGCTCAAAGTGGATGGCCACAGATATTCTAAGTCATTCTGTGAAGTTTTGAAATTTATGATTTTTTGTTTTTTTTTCACCTCCAAAAATTAAAATTTCACTCAAAGTGGGTGGCGCGGGTATTCTAAGCCATTCGTGAAGTTTTGAAATTTTGAGTTTTGAATTTTTTGGGCACCTTAAAAATTTAAATTTCACTCAAAGTGGGTGGCCACATGTATTCTAAACTATTATGTGAAGTTTTGAAATTTTTTATTTTTTTTGGGCACCTAAAAAAATTTAAATTTCACTAAAAGTGAGTGGCCATAGGTATTTTAAGTCATTCTATGAAGTTTTGAAATTTTTGATTTTTTGATATTTTTTTGAAAAAATTCAACAAATTTCCTATTTTCCTGAAATCTGAATTTTTTTTATTTTTTGGAAATTGTGATGAATTTTTCTAGAATTTTTCAATTTTTTTGGATTTTTTGAATTTTTTTGAGATTTTTAGGAATTTTTTGGATTTTCTAATTATTTTTATTCCATTTCTTAAAAAATGGATTTTTGTTCCTGGAAATAGAATTTTGTATTGTTTATCAAACGGGTTTGTGTTTTAGAAAATAGAAATTTTGTGCTGTTATCAAACGGGTTTCTGTTCCAGAAATAGAAATTTTTGGTCGTTATCAAACGGGTTTCTTTTCTCAGAAACTCATCCTGGAACCAGAAATAGAAAAACCTATTTCTGTTTCAGGAACTCATTCTGGAACAGAATGGTTATCATGCGCACCCGTTTGGTAGCGCATGATAACTATTCTGGTTCTGTCCAAAACTGATTTTCTGTTCCCAGAAATAGCTTTGGACTAGAAACCCGTTTGGTAACGTAATTCCATTTTTCTATTTCTGGAACAACTTTTTGTTCCAGAACCGATTCTGAACTAGAAATCAGAACCAAAAAAAAGTAGGTTTTCTATTTCTAGACCAAAAATGAGAATCATTTCTGAGAGAACTCTTTCTTCAAAACACATGTTCATCTGGAAGTCACGATCTCTGAGGTGGGAAAAAAAAACAAAAAATCAAAAATTTCAAAACTTCACAGAATGGTTTAGAATCTGTGACTACCCACTTTGAGCGAAATTTAAATTTTTTTAGCTGCCGAAAAAAATAAAAAAATAAAAAATAAAAAATTTCATAAAATGGCTTAGAATACCTATGGCCACCCACTTTGAGCAAAATTTAATTTTTTTTAGATGCAAAAAAAAATAAAAAAAATAAAAAAATCTAAAATTTAAAAAATTTCACAGAATGTCTTAGAATACTTGTGGCCACCCAATTTGAGCGAAATTTAATTTTTTTTAGGTGCCGAAAAAAATTAAAAAGAGCAAAAAATTAAAAATTTCAAAACTTCAATAATTGACTTAGAATACATGTGGCAATCCACTTTGAGCGAAATTTAAATTTTTTTAGGTGCCGAAAAAAATAAAAAAATAAAAAATTTCAAAACTTCACAGAATGGCTTAGAATACTTGTGGCCACCCACTTTGAGCGAAATTTAATTTTTTTAGATGCAAAAAAATAAAAATAAGCAAAAAAGCAAAATTTCAAAACTTCACAGTATGGCTTAAAATACCTGTGGCCACCCACTTTGAGCGAAATTTTATTTTTTTTTAGGTGCCTAAAAAAATAAAAAAAAAGTAAAAAATCAAAAATTTTAAAACTTCACAGAATGGCTTAGAATACCTATGGCCATCCACTTTAAGCGAAATTTAAATTTTTTTAGGTGCCGAAAAATATAAAAAAATAAAAAATTTCAAAACTTCACAGAATTGCTTAGAATACCTGTGGCCACTCACTTTGAACGAAATTTAATTTTTTTTAGGTGCCGGAAAAAAAAAAAGCAAAAAAGAAAAAATTTCAAAACTTCACAGAATGGCTTAGAATACTTGTGGCCACCAACTTTGAATGAAATTTTATTTTTTTTAGGTGCCGAAAAAAAGAAAAAAAAGCAAAATATTAAAAATTTCAAAACTTCACAGAATGGCTTAGAATACATGTGGCCATCTACTTTGAGTGAAATTTAATTTTCTTTAGGTGCCGAAAAAAAATTAAAAAATTAAAAAAACCAAAAATACCATCTGGGCACCTAAAAAAAATTAAATTTCCCTCAAAGTGGGTGGTTAGAGGCATTCTAAGTCATTCTGTGAAGTTTTAAAATTTTTGATTTTTTTATGTTTTTATTTTTTTTTTGGCACCTAAAAAAATTAAAATTTCACTCAAAGTAGGTGGCCACAGATATTCTAAAATTCTGTGAAGTTTTGAAATTTTTGATTTTTTGCTTTTTTTTTCACCTCAAAAAATTAAAATTTCACTCAAAGTGGGTGGCCACATGTATTCTAAGCTATTCTGTGAAGTTTTAAAATTTTTGAGTTTTTGAATTTTTTTGGGCGCCTTAAAAAATTTAAATTTCACTCAAAGTGGGTGGCCACATGTATTCTAAACTATTCTGTGAAGTTTTGAAATTTTTGATTTTTTTTGGGCACCTAAAAATATTTAAATTTCACTAAAAGTGGGTGGCCACAGGTATTTTAAGCCATTCTATGAAGTTTTGAAAATTTTGATTTTTTGATTTTTTTTGAAAAAATTCAACAAATTTCCTATTTTCCCGAAATCTGAATTTTTCTAACAAATTTCCTTTTGATGACTAATCATAAACTTTTTTACAATTTGCTAATTTAGTCATTCCTATCATTTTTTGTCAGAAATCGCTGACGTGCCGATCTAGTTATGCCGGCAGTTTTACGTGGCACGGTTGCCCACATATCTTCTAGCAATATTCATTGGGCATTGCTATTTTCACTCCTTATATGACTAAATCCACCCAATTTACACAAAAAAAAAAAACAAAATAGCCCTCGATCATTCAATTACAAAGTGATGGCCCCATCACTTCTTCCTTTTTCTCTCTGTTTTTCTATTTCTATTTAGGATCTAGTTGCCATAATTAAGTATTTCACATGTTTTGTTTTTTTAGTGTATTAAAGAATTTTAGTGCATTCCTAGATATTCCTATAGCGTTTTATATGCTCCGTGTAAAAGTATCTCACCAATAGTAAGGAAAATAAACAAATTTTTTGATATAGATAAAAACTTAAAAGTCTCTTTTTCATCATGGATTTTATAATAACTTATCTATTCTCTGTTTTTCTTATTTTAAAAGCTCACTTTCTTGGTGAATTTTTTATTTTTAATTTCATTAGACGAAAATATGTATCAAGTCTCTTTACTAACTACATTAAAGAATTTGTCTATTTTCCTTTCTACTGGCGAGATATTTTTTACGAAAAGCATGTAAGATGTTA